GAGCTTGCGTCTGTTAACTTGACAAATAATGCAGCAAACATCAAGAATGCCTACTCACAAGCGGTTGCAGTGTGGGATCCGCCAGGCTAAGCAAATTCTGATCCAGTGTTGCTGGACTTATGAACGCCTGGCCTTGAATCCTCTACCGTCAGTCCTATTAAAGCACCGTGGCCCCCTGGTCGCCCGCTTCCCAGCACCTGTCGACCCCTGGTTTTGCGTACAGGTCGATGCATATCAATCTGGAGTGAGGACATGTCTTCTCTGACATGTCCAGATTTCCAGCCGAGATCTGCCTATCTTTCTGCAGTGATCCTATTGGATAATGAATTCGTGATTGTGCTTTTGGGTTATGGCCATTCTCTTTGGCAGCATTGTGAGGTAGCTTCCCAGACTGAGGCAGGATGGCCTGTGTCTCGTCGAAGCACGCCTCAGTGGGCTCTTCTTTTTGTCATTTTTGCGAAGGCTCTATTTACTGGCACTGATATCTTAAGGGCAGTTTGCCTGCTCTCCCTGCTTCTGCAGACAGCAGCGCCATGGAGCATGCAGTGCCTATTTCCCTCACGCTGGTGAGTGGCTGCTCAATTAGTCATGGTGCACAGTGTCTTGAGGTATGCCCGGCACAGCAGGACAATATCTATCCATTTACTGAGGCTGCACTACCCTTCTCGTGTGTTGGGATGCCCACCATCACCTGTACTTGCCTGTGAGACTCACTAGATGTCAGGGAGGTGCAATGGCGCTAAGCGTTTCGATGCTCTGGGGCATTTCTACAACTGGACTGCCACACTGACAGAGTCAGTAGGAGTAGTCCTTGGTTATGGTGTGGCATTCTAGGGGATCTTGGAACTACCGTCTTCAGCCGAATCGAACGCTCAGTCATTATCGCTGCATCTGGACCGAAAGTTGTGCCAAATATGGCTATAATGACCGGGCATTGTATTCGGGTGAGGACGGTAGTTTCAGTGTCTTGCAGGTATTTATGAGATGCGGTCCACTGAGAGGAGTGCCAAATGAGTTGTCGGTCTTTTGTAAAGCTATTCTGAATGTGGATGACTTGTATGAGCAGTACATATGTCTGTTGAACTAAACCGGTGAGTGCACTGAGTGGACATGATTTCTCACCTGTACGATGCAATGATGATCTGTGGTTCATTGCACTGTGCCCGCATACGGAACACTCGAAGGAACTTCAATGTATATTGGATAGTGAACAGTTATCACAACATATCAGTATAAAAAGCAGCAGCTAAAGCTGTCTCTTAAGCTTCAAGGTGTTCGTTGTCTCTGGAGCAGAAGCTCGCATTCTTGCGTGTTTGGATTGTGAAGACTAATGGCCTCGGTCGTCACAATGTACATGAAGGTCGGTTCTGCTGTTGGTGGCTAAGCAGGTGTTGATTTTTGCGAGCATTGACTTTAAAGTTCAATTCTTATGCTGGCTGTCAAACTAGTAGTAATGCTTTGTAAATTCTTTGGTGAAAAGGCGGTTTCTTCTTTTTGAGTGATAACTTGTGTCCCCCATTCCATCTATTTCTGGCAGTTCTTTTTTGAGGCAACAATGTTGCAGCAGGTGACCATGGAGTTGGATGAAACGAAGGAAAAAATTGAGCTGGGGGAGGATCTGATCAGACGATGGGCAAAAGATGACCTTGAGCCTCTGCGAACAGAGCTCACAGCCCTAGATGCACAATTGAAAGAGGCCCAGGAGATAACTCAGCTGCAGAGTGAGATAGAGAGTCTGAAGAAGAAATTGGCTTGGTCATATGTTTACAAAAAAGATGCGGAGATTGCAGAGGCCATTAAAAAAATACAGGAATTGGAGGAAAGGGTGGTTATTGTGCAGCAGAAAATCCTTGACGAAGAGGTATGTCTGTGAGGGAGATTCAGTGACTATCCATGATGCTTCAAAAGTTTTAAGCCTTTAAGGCAATTGCATTATTTCAATTTATTTGTCTTTCAAAGTTCAAACCCCCAGTTACGCCAATGCTTGAAAAGTTGGACTAGCGGTATGGCCAGGAATCAAAAAATGTGAAAATGTTTTGGGCCTATCAGTAGCAGTGGGGAGCAAAAAGTGCAATATTTTTTTTCCAATTGCAATCAGACTCGCTTTCTTTCCACTTCGCACACATGCAAACAGATGGAGACTCACACTGGCGCAGGGCGCCCACTCAAAGCTTAGAGATATGGAAATCCAGAACACAGTTCAGATGCAAGTTCTCTTCAACAAGCTATGGCGCATCAGCGCCTGAACATCCTAACCTTCGTCACTGTGTCCAACCCCCACTGTTCACACTCGCTCACTCTGGATCACCCTGAATACCACCACACACATCCACTCTGTCTATCTTCCTCCTACAGCGGCTATGGCCGCACTACCACTACTAGCTATGGCTACGATCCCTCTTCAGCCCACTTCTTCTTCGGGCAACCTGCAGACCACCTTCGCACAAGACGCTGTAGCAGCGCTTCCGCATGGCTTACGCAGCGAATGAATGAATGGCTCAGCSCTGCCTCTTGATTTATACTTCTGTAACTCGTTGGTCTGTCCCTTTCCTTCGGCCCATGGTGCACACAGTCCCTCTTGGTAGTTGCTGCACTGGACTGGGACTGACTGGATCGGTACTGTTGACTGCATGGGTTTGGACTGCCAACTCGATGCAGTCGCACTGTCGACGTAACGCAGTTGGCTCACCACTTGCCCACTTGCCTCTGACTAAAGGCTCACCACTTGCCAACTTGCCTCTGACTAAACGTGAGACACTTCGAAAGGCCACTTCCGGACCTTCCGGAAGTCTGGTACTTGGCCTTTCGGATACTGTAGCAGCTACGACCTCAACCTTTCAGGACTGTAGCAGCTACGACCTTGACCTTTCAGGACTGTAGCAGCTACGACCTTGACCTTTCAGGACTGTAGCAGCTACGACCTTGACCTTTCAGAACACCTACAGCTACGGCCTCTACAAATTTGTGACTCCTAACTGACAGACCTACAGATCGAACCCCTACTACTTCACAGACGTACGACAGACGGCAAACAACAACTAAAACACAGGTCACGGGTTCAAACAATCGGGTGTCCACTCGATACTGTACACGGGTAAAGTGAGGTCTGGGGATCGAACCCTGGAATCTGCATCTGCCTCTGCAAAGGTGAAAAACCGTTTCACAATTCTTCTTTCTCGATCTTGGAACTGTCTTATTTATTTATTTAGTTTTATAACTGTTTTTCCCTGAAAAGACCAGCATCAAATCTATGCACCTGCAAGGAAATGAGGAATGCAAATGAAAAAAAAAAAAACATTTGCAGCATTCCACGGAGCATGAACTGCAAACAGATTGCAAACTGAGATAACATAACACCAAATAAGCATGAGCAAATCATTGAAGTGCCATGATAATGAAAGCCCTCTTCTTGCCTCCAATCACCAATGTTGACGATATAGCTCTTGTCTGCTGGCGTTCGGCGCCCAGACTTCAGACAGACAGCTTCTATGACCGGGACTCCTATCTACAACAGGTCTACAATGAAGATCATCAGCCTGATGAACGCATGAAGACTCCATGTGAACGACCCACTTCTTCTTCACCCGGTAAGTGCCTTGTCACACGGCTCCTCTCCCTGACTTTGCTAACAGTCCTGAACCACCAGTGAAATTAGACTGCCAAACGAACCAACAGGTGGCACCAGTAAAACTAGACTGCAAAATGAACCGTGACTGTCCTCCTGTAAAAGTAGACTGCCGAATCAACCAACTACGGTAACAGATTAAGCCAGAAGCAATTTAAGCTGGCAAAGTGAAGAAAATGGATAAACATGGAAAATAGAAAAGTTGAATCGCTCTAGCATCGTTGCTTTCTCTCCCATGTGAAGAGGTTATTCTCTCTCTCTCTCTCTCTCTCTCTCTCTCTCTCTCTCTCTCTCTCTCTCTCTCTCTCTCTCTCTCTCTCTCTTTNCTCTCTCTCTCTCTCTCTCTCTCTCTCTCTCTCTCTCTCTCTCTCTCTCTCTCTCTCTCTCTTTCTCTCTCTCTCTCTCTCTCTCTCTCTCTTGGTCTGTCTGTCGTTCCGTATGCATGAATGCATGTATGTATGTACATGTCCCTCTACACAACAGGGCCGTATAGACTCTATTGTCAACTCTCCGCAAACTGTCTGAATTTGCCTTCAAGTTTTGGCTGTAGAAGCGACTGCATGGGACAGTCTAAGAGTCGGAAGCTGCCAAGTGCATTCCCCTTGGCATAAAGTGCCAGGTGTACCTGGGAAGGGTGTACCTCAAGAAGACCTAAGTGTGAGGCTTTATCTAGGAAGATCACTGCTGCATACCCACAACAGTAATTCAGAATGATATTCATGTGAGGTTTTTGGATATTGATATACAGTTCTAATCCTAGTTGCGGCGCACCTCGGTGCGTGGATTTGCGCACGTGCAGCGCATCGTGCGTACCGCACCGGAAATATTAAGGTCCAAAAAAAAAAGAAAAAAAGTAGGGATTTTGTAATTTCCTACCGCACCCCCCTCGGGGAAAAAATGTTCAACTCGCCGTACGAGTTTGGAAAGTGTCCGCGCCCGTGGCCTGAAATTTGTTTCTTGGGCAAGGGCTGCCGAATTTTGAATTCTGCAGGCCCCTCCCCAAAAAATTTCAAAATCGCGGATTATGAAAATAGGGCTCATTGCGGGGCGGAAGGGGAGGGAATGGAGATGGATCTGACGGGAGGACAGGCAGACAAGGAAGGGGAAAGACACTGCACCAGATGCTGCCTCTACTGAAGAAGAGGACGGCTCCACGCAATCTCTGACCTGGCTCAGAGATTATGTGGAATGGGCAAAAAGAGAAAGGGAACATGCGTTTGATGTCCGTGTAGCCTGCTTGAAGCACGCAGAGAGATCTCAGGTGAACAGGAAAAAAAATGCAACAGCGGGAAACATCAGCTCCTCCAATCACTTTGAAATCCTCAAGAAGGTCAAAGCAGAAGAATTTTCTGAGTACGCAGTCTTCAGATATGCTGAGAAAAAAAGGGCAAGGGAACAAGGAACAGAGGACAAGGACAAGGCCATCCCCACAACCAAGGACAACTTCCAGGACCTACGACCCAAGGCAAGGAAAGTAGGAAAGAACCAGAAACGGAGGGAGACCAACAACGATCCAACCGAGGCAGAAGAGAAATCGGAACGTGACCTCCTAGAAAAAGAAGCGGCCGTAGATCTGTTCCAGACGAAAAAACTGAAGAAATGGAACAAGGAATATGCACCTGAATTCACTATCATTACCCTGATTGCTAGCGGAAGGGCTCCAATGGTGTCAGAGTCGGCCAAAGCTGCTCGCAGAACGCTGAGGAACATCTGACCTCTCATTGCAGGCAGATACGCGTCAAACGCGAGGGAATGGCAGATCGCAATGGACATAGCCTTCAAAATCCCTCACTTTGTAGAGGGGGAAAACGTGGTGAAGGTGCTCAAAGAACAAGTAACATCAGAACCCCCACTGGGGCTTTTTGAGACTGTTCCTATGGAAACAGAATTCATTGATTCCAGCATGCAAGAGGCAACAAAAAGCGTCCACTACGGTAAGGGCGAGATGAGCAGAAACTCCCCAAGGGCCTTCTCACCCCCGATTGCAAAGATGCAAGAATCAACAAAGCTGAGAACAGGGATGATCTGGAAACCGTGGCGAACAGTGGCCGAAGTTCCTTACAGCATTCTGGCTGGCATCAGTGTGTCGGCTGAACTGATGGCTTCAGCGGTGGCCCAAATTGTCCAATCAGGACAATTGGAAGGGGACGAGGACCTAGATGCAAGAGCATATGCCTTGGATTGTGAAAGATACTACAGAAGTGACGCCTCCGATTGCTCCTCATGGGATGGGGATGATGAGGGAGAGAAACTGGGCCGGGACTCTGATCTAGAAAAGGACGGGAATGGCCAGACTGTGCTGGAGGGAACAGACAAGGCAAGAGAAGCTGCATTCTCCCCATCAAAGGACAGCGGCTCAGGGTCTGCTCAGACAACATCTGGGGGAAATGTGAGCACGGGTACCTCCCCCCCCCTCCCCCCTCCTCTACCTAGATGTTCCTTGACCAACTATTCCCTCTAATCTCACCCAGCTGCTTCCATGGAGAGCTACAGGAGAAGAGCGAACGAGTCGGGGGACCGCATCGATTGGAAAAGTCAAGGACTAGTCCTCAAAAGCTGGAATGTCAATGGACTGGGGAACATACTAGAAAGAGAAGAAAAATGGAACGATCTATTATCCGGGTTGTCGATGAGAAATAGGAAGCTAGTAGATATAGTCCTATTACAGGAAACACACCTCACCCTCTCAACAGCACACCTCACCCTCTCAACAACACACAACAGAATTCGCACATTTATAGCAAGAAAACTAGGAGGCTTGAAGGACGAAGTTTGGTCGGTCGACCCTGAAACGAGTTCTAAGGGAACGGCCATCCTGATTCCTAAAGCCTCCCGCCTATATGTAGCAGGCCTTGTCCTTGGCAAGAAAGCTGATCTGGCATAAGGGAGGTGGTGTTGGGTACACCTGAAATGGAAGGAAGAAGAATTCGTACTATCAACATTTACGCTCCGAACTCGCCAACAGAAAGGACGACCTTTCTAAGACATATCGGAGACCTGATTCCGCCACTGACCCCATGCATTCTGGCAGGAGACTGGAACGCCAAAATAGACCCATCAGTAGACCGTATTTCTCGTTCCTACAGCACCCCAAACTTATCTGAAGCAACACCTATCCAGGAATTGATGCTGGATCACAACTTGGTAGACCCCCATATAACCCTACACCCCAACAAGCGAACATTCACCTTAGTTAAGAAAAAACACGCCAACCATATGGCCTTCTCACGTATAGA